TCATTATTTTTGCTATCTTATTATATCTGATTGTGAGCAAATCAAAAGTAAATCATAAATAAATCGATTTATCTCCAGAACATTAACAATCGTCATTTCAATTCGAATTCAATTTAAAAAAAAAATAGTTGCCTAATTTACACAAAATTGAAAAAGTGCTCCCGTATAGTCACAGTCTAACCGCATTTGCAAATAATTCTGTGCGACATTTTCACTTATACTGTGCTTAGCTTGGCGGCATTTTCACATTTTTCAATAGTTTTCACAAAATTGGAAAAGTGCTGAAACATCAAAAATTTTAGAAAATATTTGAGATTTTTCATATTTCAATCGACTTTTGATTTTGCAAAACCAATCTCTATATTTTTTTCACATGATACATATCATTGTCTATTTTATTTATTTATTTGTGTGTTTTATTCACTGAAAAAGAGGCAAATTTAATACTCGAAACGTGAGCAATTTTTGTATATTTGATGAACTTTGTTTTTTATATAATATTTTTTACCACTTTTCAAAAACCAAGAAACAAATTTAGACCGAAAATTCTTGTTTTTCATTAATATCATGCAATTTTTTTTTCTTTTTATTTTTTTAGTTTATTTATTAACTTCCCATAGGGTAAGTTATTGTAATCGCTAAAAATCGAAATCGAAAATTTTTACATTTACTAGACGCGTTGAAGCTTTCTGAACATTTTGGCATACCTCAGAAAAAATTCAAAAAACTATTTTTTTGAAATTGAATTCGAAATGAAATGACGACTGTTAATGTTCTGGAGATAAATTGATTTATTTATGAATTGCATTTGATTTGCTCAGATATAACAATAAGATAGCAAAAATGATGAAAGTTACAGCATTTGTAATAAATAATATATTTGAAAAACGTTTAAAATTTCATTACGGTACGAGAAGTTCCAGCAATTTGTCTTAATGCACGATGCCATGAACCGCTAGTTAATGACTAAAAATTATTTATAACGACCTGATTGTATAATTTCAACAAAAATGTGCTGATTGTGCCAATTTTATAAATTGTCATCATAATAATGATGATGTCGTTAGTTATATAAAAATAGAACATTAATTTAGAGCTATATACATGTTTTTGTAGGATTTATATCTAAAATATACTTCTGTTTATTTATCCATGTCTACAGCCTATGTACGACAGATTACTAATTGTATTTATTAAAACTTTAATTTAATATTCTATTTAACCAAAAGCAAGAATTTAAATCAACATTGTATATATAATTGAATGAATTGAAAATAAAAATCCTTCGGCCATACAATTTCTATTCAATACGAACGGAAGCGAACTTGATCCGCGTTCACATTGATACAACACGTTTTCTTTGTGTTAAATTTAAAAAAATCAATTGAAAAAATTATAATACTGGACAGACAAGGATTTAAAAATATCGACAGAGAGGGATTTAATAAATTTGTGTGTTTGGTACATGAAAATCGGCCCGGATTTGGGTAAAATTGAGCCAGATTTGGATGAAAGTGGGGAAAAGACTTTGTTGCGTTTTTGGTTCAGAATTTTGTAAAATTTTGTTGAAAGATGTTTGTGGTCTAAGGATAAATTTAAGACTATTAAATTATATACATTTTTATCTAATATTATTATAATCTACAGATATTGCAAATGCCCTTAAAACAATTTGGAAAATTCGGTAGTTCTGACTTGTGATTTTGATACTTTGTAGTAGCAGTTTTTTTTTCAAATTTATTTAAATATTTCTTCAACTGTTAACAATATTTGAATATTATATTAGACAAAGGTTTGATAAATTATCTATTTTTTCATCTAAGATTATAATTATCTACGACCACTTTAAATGCCCTTAAAAATAATTTAAAACGAATTTAATCCGCCACTGCTCAAGAGGATTATTATATATTTGATTATAGTCTTAGAGGAAAACTGCACTTTTTTCACATTTGTGCAAATAATTATTAAACCAATAGAGGAATCTTAATACAGTCTTCGGCAATATTTTAGATAAATGAATTATCTAAATATTTACTAACATTATAATTACCTACAACCACGCTAAATGCCCTTAAAAATAATTTAAAACGAATTTCATCCGCCACTGCTCAAGAGGATTATTATATATGTGATTGTAGTCTTAAAGCGAATCTGCACTTTTTTCACATTGTTTAAATAATTATTAAACTAATAGAGGAAACTTAATACAGTCTTTGGCAATATTTTAGATAAATAAATTATCTAAATCTTCATCTAACATGAAAATTATCTACAACCATGCTAAATGCCCTTAAAAATAATTTAAAACGAATTTAATCCGCCACTGCTCAAGAGGATTATTATATATGACGGTAGTCTTAGAGCAAAACTGCACTTCTTTCACATTTGTGCAAATAATTATTAAACTAATAGCGGAATCTTAATACTGTCTTTGGCAAAATTTTAAATAAATAAATTATTTAAAACTTTATCTAATACTAAATTTATCTAAAACCACTGTAAATAATTTTAAAAAATTATTTTCGATTAAAATTTTCCTAACCATTTGTCGTACCTAAAAGAAAGAGATATTTTAAGATTTTTTGGCTATAAATAGCTTCGGAAAGACTCTAATTTTCGGTACATATAATTTCATCATTTCCTAACACAAATATTTACCAGTTTTATTTTTCGTTCTATAAAATTATATTTATAGAATCTGAACCGACAGACTAAGTAATCCATCAATTCTTCTAAAAGGTGTTTGTTCAATATCAGTTTCTATTTATAAGAAAATGTTTTTAGAAAATTGAAAGAAAACATTTAGCAGATTGTTTAATATAATGAACAAGTAATATTATTATGCATTTTATAAAACAGTTGAAGCTTTCATTTTGCGAATTTTATATATTTAAATGAATGCTTTACATTGTACTTGGTAAATGAAAAGATTTATTAAACTTCAAGTATGAAATGAAGTCTCTGTCTTGCACACAAAATGCAGAGGCGTAGTTTTTGAAAGCATTTTAAGGGCACTTGTAATAGTTGTAGATAATTATAGTGATAGAGAAAGCTTTAGATAATTTAAAGTTAAAAGTTTGTCTAAGATTGTTTTTATATATCATTAGGTTTTACAGAAATATTGAGACTAACGTAGAAAAATGTCCTTGCAAACAATAGATTGTTTAAATAAATTTTAAAAATATTTACAGTGGTATACATAACTTCAGTGTTAGATAAAGTTTTAGATAATTTATTAGTAATTTATTTAAATTTAATTTATTATTTATATATTTAAAGGATTAAACAATTATTAAAAAAGTTATCAGAGCAAATACATAAAAATGTATATGACAAATAAATTCTTGCATTAACAGTACTGGTACGCAATCCTAAACCCTAAGCTCCTAAATCGTATTATCTCTTTCAAATGAGTCCTGTTAATCTTTAATATTATTCAAGAATCTTCTTCTAGAGATTAAAATTGAAAAAAAAATCCCGTTATCAAAAACAAAATATTTATATCAGTACCCACGTGTTGTTCCTAACTGTCAATATTGACTTTCACTGAAATTCTCATCTATTCCAAGACACGTGGAGAATAATTCTTAGAAAAAAAATTGAGATAAAATAGAGATTGTAAGGAGCATTTGGTATAAAGGGAAATTAATTACGACGAAACTGCCCGGCTGATTTTACCAAAAACCAATCATACCGTAAAACATAGTTGTATCGGTTGCATTTTTTATATCTACGATTATTTTGTTAAACATTTTTAAAATATAACAATAGTGTTATATATCATGATGTATCGTTGGAAAGTATATAAAATTATCTGTAAATCTGTGTATAACAATTTGCAAATGTTAGAACAAAATTATGTAAAAATAATTCCTCAAACTTTGACATTAAAAATCTTGGTAAGGCGTCCATGTTGTAGCTTCAACGCTTTGGTTTAAATATATTTATTTTGTTATAATTTTTTTATTTTTTTTTAACAGTGTTATATATCGTTAGAAAGCTAATAAAATTATCTATAATTTCTTATTTAAAAATTTAAAACTCTGAGAACAAATCGTCTAGAAAAAAACTTTGAATATCAAGATTTGTAAACTGAGACATTTCGGTATATCTTTCACATTTTGCTGAATTTTGTCCTAAAAAATTTTTTCAAATGTACCGCGTGACTCCGGTCTCTCCTACATTTATATATATCATATATATGTATATATAATTTCTCTATCCCATATCATAGTTTAAAGAAGTGTCCAATGTTTGTTTATTCGAACAAAACCGTTATCATCAGCTGAAACTCGAGTAGGAATAATATTATTTAAGTCATCTGATAGTTTTTATTCGAATAGATTAACATTTCTTTAGAAATCCTACAAGGTAATTTATACTCAGATAATTCAGTGAAATTTAAATATATACTGTTATATAAAACTTGCTAGAGGGACAGTAGATTTATTCAATTTGGCAGAGGTGGATTTAGTACATTTTTAGGTATTATTTTAGGACCTTTGTAGTTGTTGTAGGTGCTTGGAGTGTTAGACAAAAATTTACATAATTTATTTATCTAAAATATCGTCTAACACTATATCAGGATTCGATTTCTAATTTAGGAGGTATTTAAATAAATATAACAAGCGTCCTGGATCTTGCTTCGCGATTATACTATTCGCTATATTGACCAGTAGTGGATTTAGGAGTGTTTTAATTATTAATTAAGGGCTTATGCAGTTGTTGTAGATACTTAGAATGTTAGATAAAAATTCAGATTATTTATTTATCTAAAAGATCGTCTAACACGATATTAAGATTCGATTACTAATTTAGGAGTTATTTAAACAAATATAACAAAGCGTCCTGGATCTTGATGATTAATAATAAACTAATAAATTCATATACATATACATGTATACATATATATATATATATATATACATATATATATGTATATGTATATATATATATATATATATATATATATATAAATGAATAAAAGAAATGTTGACTTACCGGAATGTCCACCAAATATTAAAACACATCGTGTTCAGCCAGAAAAATGCAGCCAGGAAGAAAAAGTGCATCAGAATTGCTGCAAAAGAATAAAAATTATTAAAATAACAAAAATAATTTATACATATATATATATATATATATATAATTTCTAATTATTACCGCAATCAATCATGTGTATTTTTCTTGGACTCATATTTTTAACTTCCCGTAGGGTAAGTTATTGTAATGGGCCAAAAATCGGAATTGAAAATTTTTACATTTCTCGACGTTTTGAAGGTTTCTGAACATTTGGCATACTTCAGAAAAAATGGATGTGTGTGGTGTGTGTGTGTGTGTGTATGTGTGTGTGTGTGTGTGTATGTATGTGTGGATACAAATTTCCAGTCACGTTTAGGGCGCACGGATCAACCGATTTGAATGGTTCAAAAAACATTCGATTCATATTGATAGGGAAAAGAGCTGATTAGTTTTTTGGCAAAGGCAGGTCCAGCCGTTTCGGAGATACGGAGCAAAGAGTGCGGAAAATAGAAATCGAATTTTTGAGAGAACGGAGTATCCGATTTGAATGATCTAAAAAACATTCAATTAGTGATGATTGGGAGAAGTGTTTATTAGTTTTTGGCAAAGGCAGGCCCAGCCATTTTGAAGATACGGAGCTAAATATGTAAAAAATGGCAGTTTTTGAGAGAACTAAGCGTCCGATTTGAATGATTCAAAAAACTTTCTGCTTGTCTTAAAAAATAATTGATTTTGGAAAAAAAATTTTGTTCAATTTTTTTTTTTTTTTTTTAGTTTTTGTTGAAACAAATAATTCAACTTTACAATTCAGTTTATATAATTCTTATAAAATTAGACAATGTTACAATATTTATAATAATCTATTTGAAAACATTCAGTATTCCTCGAACATTTCGTTACGGTACGGGAAGTTCCAGCAATTTGCCTTAAGGCACGATGCCACCCACCCCACTAGTTATATTAATATTTACTACTTTCTTATATATTAATATTTTTTATTTACTATTTACTCCTTTCTGTTATTTGTTTACCACAAGATTTTTTTGGTTAAAATTTTAATAATAACAACATAACTGTTTTCTATAATATTGTTTTTGGTCGAATCGTTGTTAATTATTTAAAATAGCGTTAAATAACAGTCTGAAAGATAATGATGTACCGCGTTATAACACTTATAACGCGGAAGTCATAACGGCGGTTAGTCACTTATTTGCCGTTAACGCCGGTGTCATTAAATTGACATTATTATTACATTTTTGGACACGTTTCAAATGCATTTTTGACTAGGTGTAAGTGGCATTTTGTGTTAAAATAAACATATACATGTATACATGAAATACATGAAATATAAAATTAGCAAGTCGGATCCAGATAATCTATTCTCTTTCGGGAAGTAAAAATTCTCAGACACATATTTAAAATTAATAATTCAAGTAATAAACTACAATGTTCTTTAACAATAGTTCGTCAAAAATAATATACATAAACTAGTAGGTCTTGAGGCAAATTGCTGGAACTTCCCGTACCGTAATTAAACAATCGAGGAATGAAAATAATCAATAATTGTTTTGAATAATTTCAAATAGATTATTATAAATACATACTGTGAACTTATAAGTGCTTTTTAAATTGGGTGACAAGCGTATTTTATGAACAACTTACGTGTACGTTTACAAGAATCCATTTTTTTTAAATGAGATTTTTTTGATAATTTAGAATTTTTTTCAAAACTTTGATTTTTTTTAAAAATAAAAACGTTTTTTTTTTAATATTTTGAGAATTTGGAAATTTTTGAAAATATTCGTTTTATTTGTGAAATTTTCAAAATACTCTCGAATTTTTGTAAGAAATCTTTTTTTTTAATTTCTCAAAATTTAGTTTGTTTTTGAAAATGATGAAAAATTTCTAAAATTTGAATTTTTTGAAACTTTGAATTTTTTTGAAAATTTTGATTTTTTTGAAAATTTTCAAAACTACTAAATTTTCTGTAAATGCATTTTTTGCACACCGTCTACTCAAGCAAAATGTTTTTTGAATTAATCTAATCGGATGATCCGTTCTCTCAAAAACTGCAAAAACGTTTATACACCCTTTGCGCTCCAAAACTCCGAAACGGCAAAATTGCCTTTTACAAAAACGCCTCGCGATCGAGTACGAATCGAATGATTTTTCAATTTTATAAATCGGTTATTCCATGCTGTCGAAAATGTCGAGGACATTTGTTTGAAGCATATAGATAAACTACATAATTAAAAATCTTGGTACGGAACCCAAAAAAAAATTATACAAAATGTATACACAATATCAAAATCTCTATAAAATATCTGATAATTTGATGTACATATGTCCAATAAATATTTTTGACCGCCAAATGACATTTTTTTTTTAATTGAGAGGCCATAACCGCTGGACCTGCCTTTCCAAAAATTTATTCAGATCTTCATCTTGTCAATACAAGTAAAATGTTTTTTGAATTATTAAAAACGGACGCTCCGTTCTCTCAAAAACTGAGTTACCGTCTAGGGCACTTTTTTCCCCGTATCTTCGGAACGGCTAGACCTGCCTTTGCCAAAAACTAATCAGCACATCTCTCTATCAATAGGGATCTAATGTTTTTTAAACCATTCAAATCGGCTGATCCGTGCGCCCGAAATCGTCGACGAAAATTTGTATCCGCACACACACACACATACATAAATTTTTTCTAAGGTATGCCAAAATATTCAGAAACCTTTGAAACGTAAAGATATATAAAAATGTTCATTTTCGATTTTTTTGGGATTACTATAACTTGCCCTACGGGAAGTTAATAATAAACTACAATAATCTTGAACAATCGTACGTCAAAAATAATATACATAAATAATTAATTTAAATAATATTTACAAATTATTCGGTGAAGTAGAAACAAAATCATTCTTTGTTTCTTTTGTTAATATTCTGTTTATTATTTACATTTATCTTTTTGTATTTAGGTTTAATTTTTTGTTTTTTATAAACCTGAACAATTTTGTATTATAAAACTTTAATAGTTACTATTGTTATTACTATATTAAGTTTTGATTGACAAAAAAAAAATTCTTTTTTTTGAAAAATTATTTTCTTATTTGTATATAACGAACTCTATTATAATTTACTCTCAAGGAAGGTTCATTGTCCCAAAAAAGCCAAGAATTTTCATTGCAGTCATAAAACATGTTCACTTCGCACAATTCAGGTTTTTTGTGTTTGCTAAAGATTTATATTTTTCTATTTACATGGAGTAGGTGTGAAGTGGTCATTCGGAGGAAAGTACAAACATTTAATTTTATTTTATTGAAATTTTTGGGTTGGGCCTAAAATGGACAAATAAATCGCCCACATGTTGAAAAGATCAATAAACTAGGTGTATATTTGGATACCAAAATGTATCTTTTTCCTGCTATTTTAGCTGCAGCTTATTTCCTTATCCAAAGTTCAATGTTCAGTTAATGCCCTCCTTGTCAGTTGTGTTATTTATATGTTACGTTATTATTACGTAACGGGACTTTTCATTGTTCGACATTTTGTGTTAAAATTACATTTTACAATTTACTGTTTTCCATTCGTCACATAATGATGAACTCCAGGAACTAGAAAATACCGCAAAATATGACAATAATAAGATGATGGTGACGACGACCACAACAATTTGTTCCGGTAGAAAGAAAATGTTTTTTTTAAACTAAAACATTCTGTTACTTTCCATTTTTTACCAAAATATTTCTTCTGGGTCAATTTTCTACCAGTCACGAAATAAATTTTTAGCAATAATTCTGGGACAATCTAATTCTGGGTCAATTTCTGGTGCAAGTCATGACATGATGTTGTCCAAATGTCTATAATTATTTTCACATGGGAAAAGTAATGGCAATTCCGAAAATAAACTTTGGAATGGATTTAAAAACAATAACACTCGCATTATATACGCACGGTAAACAAAAACAAACAATGGGGATAGACGGAGAGCTGGTGGAAAGTTTGCTGGGGAAAAAATTTGTTGGGAACGAAATTTATCGAGAATCAAATTTTTTTGTTAAATTATTTATTGTCGTCGATTCTAGTATGCTAAATTCTGTATTTTTCTACTAGAATTGTCAAAAAATGAGTTGATATATATTAATAAATTAACAAACATTCGATATGTATGAATGTTAATTAGTATCTTATATTTTGTGTAAAGATTCTTTTTAATAAATACAAACGCCGAAAAATGTACAACGAATTGTCAAACAAAAATACTTGCAAATTTTAATATACTAGATCCTGTATTTTCCAAATAGAATTGTCAAAAAATGAGTTGATATATTTTTTATAAATTAAAAAATATTTGATACATATGAATGTTAATTAGTATCTTACAGTTTCGTGTAAAAATCAGTCAGGCCGTTTCTTTTCAATAAATACAAACTCCGAAAAATGTACGTCAAAATGCCAAACAAAATTACTTGCAAATTTTAATAAATTACAGACTGTATTTTCTGAATAAAATTGTCAAAAAATGAGTCGATGTATATTAATAAATTAAAAAACATTCGATGCGTATGATTGTTAATCAGTATCTTGCAATTTTGTGTAAAGATCGGTCAAGCCGTTTCGTTTTAATAAATTTAAATTTAGAAAAATGTATCTCAGACGTGATTAAAAATGTTTCATCTTCTAATATACTTGATAATGGGTTTTATAATTAAAATTAATAAAAAATGAATTGATATACTTGGGTGAATTAAAAAACATTGGATGCACATGAATGTTAATTAGTATCTTACAATTTTGTATAAAGATCGGTCAAGCCGTTTCTTTATAATAAATATAAACTCCGAAAAATGTACGTCGAAATGCCAAACAAAAATACTTGCAAATTTTAATATATTAGAGACTGTATTTTCCAAATAGAATTTTTCAAAAATGAGTCGATGTATATTAATAAATTAACAAACATTCGATGTATATGGATATGCACTAATACCGATCAGTTTTGTGTAAAGATCGGTCAAGCCGTTTTTTTTTTAATAAATTTAAATTTATAAAAATGTACCTCAGACGTGATTAAAAATGTTCCATCTTCTAATTTACTAGATAACAAGTTTTATAAATAAAATTAATAAAAGATGAATTGATATGTTTGGGTAAATTAAAAAATATTCGATACATATGAATGTTAATTAGTATCTTACAATTTTGAGTAAAGATCGGTCAAGCCGTTTTTTTATAATAATATACTAGATAATGAGTTTTATAAATAAAATTAATTATAATAATAATTATTAATTAAAATTAAGTAATTAATAACTTGTGATGTATGGCATCGTGTTTTAAGACAAATTGCTGGACTTTCCGTACTGTAATGAAATTCTCGAGAAGTTTTAAACGTTTTCAAATATATTATTACAAATACTGTAACTTTCATTATTTTTGCTATCTTGATATATCTTATCTGAGCAAATCAAATGTAAATCATAAATCAATTTATCTCCACAATATTAAAAATCGTCATTTCATTTCGAAAAATAGTAAAAAATAGTAAAAATAGCCTAATTTACACAAAATTGGAAAAGAGCTCCAGAAAATCTCCAAAAAATATCTTATTTTTCACAAGACCAAATTATATTTTTCGCACTTAAGCTAATTTTAAAGAAAAGGCTAAGCCGATCGCATCGCAAAACTAATGAAAGTGAGTATTCTTCGGTGCCAAACGATTCAGAATGACTTGACGGATTTTTTCTGCGAAAACATAAACATATCCTTCGGTAATAAATTAGTAATTATTTTTTTGCGTTCTACTTAATTTCATCTTGGGATTTATTCGTGTGTGAAATGAAAACATGCAAATGTACTGATGACATACATTCGTACTAATCTAATGGCACTTAAAAGCATCATGATATTGCTGAAGACTCTTGAGAAGTAGTTAAATGTTAAATATGAAACAGATCATCATTAATTTTGTTCCGCACCAGTTAATAAATCAGAGAATTTATAGGACTATCTTAATATAAGATAATATAATTTTTTTGATATGCTCAGTGTTCTAGTTTTTCTAGCATCATTTTCTGCTCTTTTAATATTTCTTTAATATCCGAGAAAGGAACGATAGGTATTTCTATCGTTGAAGAAATTGCGAAATAGAAGAACATACGTCGAATAATTTTTAATGTCGAAAGTCGATCGTGTTTGGAATTCTTTCGCATTCACACCGACAGTTGTGGAAAAAGTCAGGTCCGGTATAAAAAACTAAGTGTAAGTAAAAACGATAAAAAAAATAAAAAATACGTTGTATAATATATAAATTAAATTTAAACTGGTGGTGCATGGCTTCGTGTCTTGAGGCAAATTGCTGGAACTTCCCGTACCGAAAATTCAAATGTTTAAAAGATTCATTTTTTTAAAAAACTGGTTGAAATAGATTTTTGAGAATATTTCGAAGTCGCTTTATTCAAAACTTTTATATCGGAGTGTATATAATTGTTTTAATGAAAATGTAGTAAATTTTATGTAGTTTCAACCTATCTAACTTAAAAAGGGTGCTTTCATATAAAGTTTGTGAGTTATTTGACAAAATCCTAAAAAAATGTCTCGAATTTTCTAATTATTGTGCTGAATAATGAAATTTCAAATTCAAAGTCGTTTTATTCAAAACTTTTATATCGGAGTGTATATAACTGTTTTAATGGAAATGTTGTAAATTTTATCTAGTTTGACCGTATCTAACTTAAAAAGAGTGCTTTCATATAAAGTTTGTGAGTTATTTGAAATCAAAAAATTGTTCCGAATTTTCTAATTTCATCTAGCTTCACCCTATCTAACTTAAAAAGGGTGCTTTCATATATAGTTTGTGAGTTTTCAGAAAATGTTTTATGAATCATTCAAATCACTTGATCCGTGTTCACGAAATCGTCGACGAAAATTTGTATCCGAACACATACATCAATTTTTTGCCAAAGTGTTCAGAAACCTTTAAAACGTAAAAATATTTTTTGCTATTCTATAACTCACCCTACGGGAAGTTAAAAAATATTTTTTATTTACTGAATATTTTGCCTGAAAAAAATTGTTTATAATATTTTTTGATGATCTTAAGTCGTTTAAAAGAGTTTTAAAATTTGAATTTTATTATTTAAAATGAGTTCTATATATTTATTTATCAAGTTTTTCATCTATTTTTTGCCAAAATGTTCAGAAACCTTTGAAACGTAAAAATATTTTTTGCGATTCTATAACTCACCTTACTAGAAGTTAAAAAATATATTTTATTTACTAAATAGTTTGCATGAAAAAAATTGTTTATAACATTTTTTTTTAATAAGCTTAAGTCGTTTAAAAGAGTTTTAAAAGGTGAATTTTATTATTTAAAATGAGTTCTATATATTTATTTATCAAGTTTTTCATCCATTTTTTGCCAAAATGTTCAGAAACCTTTGAAACGTAAAAATATTTTTTGCGATTCTATAACTCACCGTACTAGAAGTTAAAAAATATATTTTATTTACTAAATAGTTTGCATGAAAAAAATTGTTTATAACATTTTTTTTTTGATAAGCTGAAGTCGTTTAAAATTATTTTAAAATGAGAATTTTATTATTTAAAATGGGTTGTAGATATTTCTCAAGTTCTTAACTCACTTTAAAATTTGGATAATGCAAAATTTTATAATAATAAATCATCTTCAATAATTTCCAAAAAACTTTTGAGATAAAATGATTCTTCCTGGGTTTGGCAATTCCCATTTTTTAAATTAAGAAATAGGTATAAGTCATTTTGAATAAATATGCAGTACACTATATATATATATATATATATATATATATATATATATATATATATATAATTTACAGTTTCATAATTAATAATATATATATAATTTACAGTTTCATAAACGATAATTAATTACAAAAATACTAATATTGTATTTTTCCCATTACTCACATTCGAGTGTGAAATTTCACTTTCATAATTTTCTACGAATTCACTATATAGTCTTCCATTTTTTTGTTGCATCTTAAGTAACTTTTAAACAGTTTGCCTGAGGTAAATGAAATATTCGACAAATTTATACAAAATTAAATAACCTTTAAAGAGTTTTAATGTGTCAATGCCCTACAGCAACTCAATATACTCTAAAATCGACCATAAAAATACAAATATAATTCTAAAGCACATTGATTTAGGTGCATTTATTTGTTGCATCTTAAGTAACTTTTGAACGGTTTGTTTTGAGGTAAATGAAATATTCGGCAAATTTATACAAAATTATATTATCTTTCATGAGTTCTAATATGTCAAACCCTACAGCAACTCGGTATACTTTAAAATAAAATAATATGCTCTCAATAACAGAATATTTCTGGTCATTACTCATGATGTTTTATTTTTTTTCCATTGAGTTTAAGTGTGAAATTTCACTTTCATTATTTTTCTACGAATTCTTTTAATTATATTTTTAAAGAAATTAAATGTTGCAAAACAAATATAGCAGATTTTATGTCCGGTTCGCCAAAAATAATATAAAAGAACACATCATCGACTTTTGTGTTCTTTATAATTGTTTCTGCGAATTTGCTGAAGAACAGTTAATTTTTTGCACATGGCCAAATTGCTAAAGTAATTCTGAGTAAAATATAAAATTGAAATATTGCTCATGGGTAAAAATCTGTTATTTACATTATAATAAACTCGAGAATTAAAATTAGTTTATATTAACTTTAGAATAATTAATAAGAGAAAATAATTAGAAATTTGATCCTCTGGTTACTAATTTAGTAACGTACGTGACAAATTTCGATTTGAACAAAGTTCAAATATTGTTCGTGACTTTATCAAGTTATTAAAATAGCTGCAGCTAATTATAATCGGTTTAATTAAAGATTGTTTTGATAAACAAATCGAGAGAAATTCAACGACAAAAATACCAGAGTCGAACTTGTTAAAAAAAATTACCCACTATACGCCCAAATTGAAATTACGTCCAAAATTCTATTACCAAACATTTAGGAAAAACTATGAAATTATTTTATTTATATTTATATTTATATTTATATATTTGTATTTATATTTGTATTTATATTTATATTTATATTCATATTCATATTTATACCAAAATAAGTCTGGTATAAAAATTATCTATCACTTACCTATGGTTACGCAAACTTTGGCGTCCAAATCTCTTCCAGCCAATTGGCTGACTGCCAAAAGGGTGTCACCAAACAAAAGGCAAGTTACGTAATAAGTTTGGCACCTCCAATGTAAAGCATGATGGTTCCCTGGCACCAAAAAACCGACTGCCAAAGTTGCCAGAAGAAAAATCACACTTAGAGCCAAACCTGGGGAAAAAATTAAATTAGTTACCCAAATTGGTAAAAGATTGCCTATTTGGTTGCCTTACTTATCGGATAAAGTGTGTATCTAAGTTCGTCGTAAGTATCAACTGGCGTCTTCACAATAGGAATGTCTCCGATGCAAGAAAACACATGCACTTTCTGCAAATCCTCCTGCAGGTTGACATTGTTCATCTCCGACAAATCCCTGGAGGTGATCTTGGTCCTGATTTCAGGATCCGTCATCGTATTTCCATCACTGACATCATTGTACGTCAAAGCAGTATCAGGTTGAAGACGTTTCTGCAACTCCTGTACGTGAAATCAACGTTAAACAAATCGTAGGGCGGCGGAAGCCCAGTGGTCACAATCTTCTATTTACCTGGAAATTGTGCGGCAAAGCTCTCTCGATGCAAAAAGCCGAAGGCTGAAGTGTTGTCGAATCCGAAGGGCTTGTTTCGATGAATAAGGACCCGTCGTTTTGCACCCTTACAATATTTGAAGGTAGAGCATTGATGGCAAAGCCTGCGTGTCCTATTTTGCATGTTGGAAAACTTGAGACGAAGGATACTGTTGTGTTTGAAGGGTCTTCCAGCTGAAAAATTAGAGGATTAATGAGAATGAGAATAATGAGAAGAATTAATATATGTTATGAGTTTTGTGTCAAAATCGGTCAAGACGTTTTGTAGTAATAAATACAAATGGCGACAAGTTGTACCTCAAACTAGCAAACATGGTAGAAGGGATAAATTCTAATTAGTATTACTCGATAAATAGTGCAAGGATATTAATAAATTAACATCCACTCGATGCACTTGGATGTTGATTAGGAACTGTCAATTTTGTGTACACATCGGTCAAGCCCTTTCTTTTTAAAAAAATACAAATTTATAAAACCGCGCAATAAACTAAAGTACTTGCCGACAGATTGACTAAATTGCAAATAAGATTACTCAAGAACGAGTAGATGGAGATTATTGAATTAAAAGCTATTCGGTGCACATGGATGTCGACTACTAACTGTCAATTTTGTGTACAGATCAGTCAAGCCGTTTCTTTTCAAAAAATACAAACGTTGGAAAATGCGCATCAAGCTAAAGTACTTGCCCACAGATGCTGCAAATTCCAAATAGGACTTCTCGATAACGAGTTGACGGATATTGATAAATTAAAATTTTTTCGATGTACCTGGATGTTGACTACTAACTGTTAATTTTGTGAACAGATCAGTCAAGCCGTTTCTTTTTAATTTCAAAAAATGCACTTAGGCATAAGTACTTGCCGACTCTGTTAATGCTAGATTCTGTGAATTCCTAATAAGATTACTCGAGAACGAGTAGATGAATATCAATAATTTAAACACCATTCGATGCACATGAATGCTGGCTATGAGCTATAAATTTTGTATATAGATCAGTCAAACCGTTTCTTCTTAATTTCGAAAAATTCGCATGAACAAAAGTACTTGCCGACTCTTAAATGCTAGATTTTGTGAATTCCTGATAAGATTACTCGATAATGAGATGACGGATGTTGATAAATTAAAAACCATACGATGCACATGGATGTTGACTATTGCCTGTCAAGTTTGTATACAGATCGGTCAAGCCGTTTCTTTATAATATCGAAAAATTTACACCAAACTATAAGTTTTGCCGAGGCTAACATGCCAGATAATGTAAATTCCGGATAAGATTACTAGAAAATGAATCGATGGATATTAATAATTTAAAAACCATTCGATACATATGGATGTTAGCTATGAACTGACAATTTTGTGTACATATCAGTCAAGCCATTTCTTTTCAAAAAATACAAACGTCGAAAAAGGTCCATCAAGCTAAAGTACTAGCCGACAGATACTGTAAATTCTAATTAAGATTACTCAGGAACGAGTTGATGGATATTAATAATTTAAACACCATTCGATACATATGAATGTTGACTATGAACTGTCAATTTTGTATACAGATCAGTCAAGCTGTTTCTTTATATTATCAAAAAATCTACACCACACTATAATTTTTGCTGACGCCAGTATGCCTAATAACGTAAATTCCGGATAAGATTACTCGAAACTGAGTCGATGGATTATAATAATTTAAAAACCATTCGATACATATAAATGTTGTCTGTGAACTGTCAAATTTGTGTTAAAATCAGTCAAGCCGTTTCTTTTTAATAAATATAAACGTCTCAACATATGTTAATAAATACGAGTTCAAATTAGAACATTCCAAACTTCAACGATTTTTTATAACTAAACCACTTATCGCAAGCCTATAATATTTTAGTTACGACAAGTTTAACATATTTTCTTTTGCAAAAGCATAAATAGAATAAATTCAATAAGTTTTTGTCAAAGAGAAATATGATTTATGCTAATGAATTCGTTCGCCAAAAGTCAAAAGTTGCTTATTCGAGTCACGTACTGGTAAATGAGCCATTGTCGAGTTGGAAAAGTAATAAAAAAATAATTTAAAATAGGATGTGATGGGTTTTAAATGTTTTGAAGCAGACGTCATTAAAATTTACATATTTTGTAATTAAATTTAGTATATAAAAGTATTAAAAAATTTTTTAGGTATGTGGAATTAATAGTTGTTTGGGTGTCGACACTTGGGTGCAAATTTTCATAAAGTTGCTTATTATTTAAAAATTAAGTTGGATAAATAAAATTTATGTATTGGGTATTTAAAAGCACATCTTGGAGAACAACATATTAAAATTACAACCTATTAGTATAATTTTTGTGTCCTTTCGAGCTTCTTAAAAATAGCACTTCAAAAACTACACTTTGAAAACAAAACTACTTCGTGGCCTATGCATTTTTTGGTGGTACCTATTTGGATGAAACTGCAAAATTATTCCTAAAACGTTATAAAATATTGAAATTTTATTATTTAATATCTATCAATATACATCAAAGATTGATATATTGAAACTACAACCATCTAGTACAATAATTACGTCCTTACGAGCTCTTCAAAAAACAATACTTAAAAAAAAATACTTTGGTCTTCGGGAAGGTAATTCGAAAAATGTTTCTGCTAGTTTTCGAAATAAAATTACCACTTCAAAACTTTTTTTTCCACTTCAACTAATTATCTAAAATTACCTGTTTGTCGGATTATTTCAAAAAGATTTTTATCTGCCAGGTAACACCTATTAGGACAGGCGCCTAAAAACAGATGGACCTGGGATACCTGAAAATCAGGTAGCCAGGTGCCATAAAATTTTTGGTAAAAGGCAAATAAATTTGTCTTTGAACTGTATTTAGCCGCAAGTTGTAAAATTTGAATATTTTCTGTGTAATTTATTATGTTAAAATCATATAATTCAAGGAAAAGTTTGTGTTTTTGCCAGAAATCATATTTATCAAAAAAGTGATTTTCCAAGAGCTCTTCAGGACAAACTATTTGTACTAAAAATCTGTAAATTTAGTATTTCGTTTGTGAATATATGTACTTTGATAAGAAATATTAAAATCGGTGCCTTTTTATACAAAATTTAAAAGAAATTTATAAAAATCTAAACAAAGTACCTGAAGCTCATCAAAATTAAATTGTTACTACGGAACAAAAAGTTGATATTCAAGGAACTCTTCAGGACTAACTATTTGTACTAGAAATCTATAAATTTAGTATAGAATATGAATTTAGTTTATTAAAGAAATTTCTAAAAATCTAATTCTAAAAATCAAAGTACGCAAAACTCGTCTGCTTACTATGAGACAATTTTAAGTTATTTTCAAGGAGCTCTTCAGGACAAACTATACATATTAGACATCTATAATTTATGTACCAATATAAATTTATTATAGTTCTATCCAATTCTATTCTTAATAAATATTTATTATCCAATTTTCCCGAGAAATTCCTAATTTTCATACACGAAAATCTACTCCGGCGTTGTAATTAAATTAGGCAAAGTTTCGGCATTAAATTTAATACTAAAATTGCACTCTGGGGATTCCATTAAAATTTTAGCAAAACTGCAGTTTAATTTCTGGCAAGAGCATTATTATTTCTATGCAATTTTATATATATATATATATATATATATATATATATATAATCAAAGAAATTTAATCGCTAAATAGAATTCCATGTCGTGGCATTTTTCGTCAGAATTATTTATAAAATATTCTTATTTTGTTTATATTATCGATATCGAATACGAAACGATTATATATATATATATATATATATATATATATATATATCGATAACATTTGATTTAAATTGAAAACAGTACTCCTGAGAAATTTCAATTGTATATAATTAAATTAAAATGTTTATTAAAACTGCATATATACCGTGGGCGTCGTATCTTTAAAACTATTTGTCTTAAAGAAATGAAATATATGGCAAATTTGTTCAAAATTAAATAATCTTTAATATTTTCTAACATCATAATGTTCTATAGCAACTCGATATACTTTAAAAATGCAAACAAATATAAAAAAATCCATAGATTTAGTCTAAAACTCTTTACTTATTATATATTCTGTAACTTTCAAATCGTTCGTTTAAAGAAAATGGCACATTCGACAAATTTGTTCAAAATTAAATAATCTTTAATATTTTCGAACATCATAATGCTCTACAGCAACTCGGTATACTTTAAAATCGTAATTAAAAATGCACTATTAATCAGAACACTCAATGAGACAACTTCAATGCTTTGTTACATTCCAGGACATTTATTTATTATTTATTACATAACTTTTAAACTATTTGTCCAAAATAAATAAAATATTCTGCAAATACGTATAAAATTGAATTGTTTGTAATATTTTCTAACATCATAACACTCTACAGTAACTCGGTATACCTTAAAAATGCAATTGAACATGAGCAATGAATCCTGCTTAGCAATCAACAATTTGAAAAATAATTGCGCTTGAGGCGAATTTTGATAAATTTTCTGGTTTAAATAGGTTTTTTTATATTTTAAAGTATACCGAGTTGCTGTAGGGCATTATAATGTTAGAAAATATTGTAGAAAATTTAATTTTGTATAAATTTATCAAATATTTCATTTATTTTAGACAAACCGTTCAAAAGTTACACGAGATACAATAAATAAATGAATACCAACTACGTTTAACATCCGAAGCTTTACTAGGCGTAAGAATTCAGATTAAAAGTCTAGTTTCAATTGCGATTTTAGAGTATACCGAATTGCTATAGGATATTATAATGTTAGACTATATTACAGATTATTCAATTTTGTACAAATTTGTCAAAAACACCATGTAAATTTGACAAACCGTTTAAAAGTTACAAGAGATATAAGACATAAATGTCCTGACCAAGTCAATCTTTGGAACTACGAGTCCTCATTGAAAAGCAATTTTAAAGCACACAGAGTTGCTGTAACAGTTTATAATATTAAAGCAAATTATACACAATTTAATTCTGTACCAATCTCCAGAATATTCCATTTACACCAAACAAGCCGGTCAAAAGTTACATCAAAACTCCTTTTTATATAAAACAATAATTTCCCAATCTGGACATACGGCATTGAGCTATGGGCGTGCGCAAGCAATTCAAATATAAAAAAAATACAAGAAAATTTTAAGATGCATTGTGAACGCATAATGGTATATTACATATGACACTCTACATAAATATTGAAAAATTAAGACTATTAATGAAATGATAAAAGAAAGGAGCAAAAAACTATCAGGTCACCCAAACAAATATCTAAAAGAATTAAGCGAGGAATATCCTACTCGAAGATTGAAAGAAAAAATGGCCATACGATCTTAAATAAAATGTCAAAAAATAAAAAAAGAGATATCTCATAGGAGATAATCTCTTAAATGCATTTACATGCAGCATATTGTCTTAAAAAATGCATATTATTTTGATTGGTAATAAAACTATGCAAATAAAAAAAAGAGTGCGCGTAAGGTTCACATGCGATTGAAGTAAAACTTATTTTCTACTGTACAAGATGACATTTAAGTAAAAATAAATACATCATATAACAATTTTGAATGATGTTCATTAGTAATATGGCAACACTCGTGATGCACACATTTTTTAGTGTCAACCATTATACACATTTATAATGATAAATTATATATTTATAATAGAATTAAAAATCTTTACTATATTTGAAAAATAAAATATTCAGCAAAATTATTTAAAATTAATCGTCTATAAAGTTGTCTAACATTGTAATACCCTATAGCAACTCGGTATACTTTAAAAATCGTTATTGAAAATAAGAAATCTTTTCAAGTCTAAGCTTGTCATGAGTTTGAATGCGTTCACAATTTATTTTATAACTTTAGAATCACGCGTTGGATCTGAATATAATGTTTAAATCAAATTTATTTAAATTCAAATTTATTCATAATTAAATAGTCTATAAATTTTTCTTACACCAAAATGCCCTATAACAACTCGGTATACTCATAAATTGCATTAGAAAATAAATTAATTCAAAGAAAAAGTGAAACCTACGAATAAGAAAACATAACTAATTTCGTTTAAATTAATTATTATAACTTCTAAACTATTTGATAGAATCAAAAAGTGTCTTCGGTAAATTTATATAAAATTAAATAGTCTACAGCATTTTTTAACAACACAATGTGGGTAATTTTATTTAAAAAAAATTATAACTCTCAAACTATTCGCTAAAAGTAAATGCCATATACTTGGCAAATTCGTACAAAATTAAATAATCTATAACTTTTTCTAATAACAAAATGTCCTACAACTTTGTATACTCTTAAATTACATTCGAAAACAAACAAAACCAAATTAATTAAAGTCATTCTTCAAATATTACATGATCGGTTTGTCATTGTAATTAGCATTTAGAAATGAACCTTCATTGGAGAAATGAAGTAATTGTTGATTAATAAATTCTATAATATTCGTTCAAACAGTGGATTATGTTAAACAACCCCTAAACAAATATTTTCGCAACTTCACTCATCATGTAATAATTGTGTTTGAAGAACTTCGTGTAATTAAAATTAACATACATTTATTAACTGCTTGTGTAATTTTTTTTACTTTTTCGCTGGCGATATAATCTCATTCTTTGAACAGCTGTAATATCTGTCTTTCCTAAAAAAATATTTTCCATTTTAATGACTTCATAGATCTATAGAAACTACGAATAATATAGAAATAATTTCTAATCAATAAACTTACGTTTACTACACGGCACAAATGTTTCATTTGTTTTATTATTTTCAAGGAACAGGGTAAAATATTCTTCTGATTCAAACATTTTTCAATAAATCAAGATTTGTACTGCGATGTATCTTTAAAATGTCTATTTATCTATGCCGATTTTCTTGTTGGTATCGGTACGCATCTCTCGATCTCTATTCACTTACGCGACGACTAATCACAATCGACCCGTATTGAAATGATATCATCGAGAGCGAATGACTCCTCACTTGACCTTGCCGTAACAACTTCCGTTGCATTTGTATGGATTTACACCCTAGTAGCGCCTAAAGAAGTTTTACTTAAAAAAAGTTACATGAAATGTATTACCTGTACATCAAAACTCCTGGACTGTCCCAAAGCACCCTGGACAACCACACAAGTAGCATTGTCTCTACTATAAGCACCACCTTCACCACAACACTTCCTGATTTTAATCTTTTTTTTATTCACCAACCTGGCATCAATATATGCCTCAACCTGTTCGGTGACATTGACACCAGCCTGACTGTCCAGGTCACAAACCATGGCAGACAATTTATCGATACAAAAATCCTTCGGGTCATACAAAACATGGTGCTCCTCCACAAAAAGACTCCCATTTGCCAACATGTAGTAATTTAAATAAGGAACAGCCAAGTGAACTAATTTTGGTTTAATCCCGAACCCACAAAAGGGCCTGCTGAGTTCCTTCAATTGCCAATTGCTTGGTGTAATTTTACTATTGAGAAACACTTTTCGGGCTGGTGCGTAGATTTGAGGTAACCAGTTTTCACCGAGACCAGGAATACATTGTAAGTCGTCTTCGGAGTTGGCCAGATTTGATGGATCTAATTGTTGTAACATTTCCCCAAGACGACAGCATTTTTGCACTAAACTGTTGGTAGACGTTTTGACCAGGATTGGTGCAGGAATATTAGAACCAGGATTGGAAGAAGACGACGCATTTTCGGGTTTTACATGGGAAGGTTTGCACTGTAAAGTCACATGTAGTTTATATCACTAAGTCAAAGCACTAAAGTTTTTTTGGTTTTTCTTGAAAATCCTGAAAGGAAAAATTGGTGTTGATGAAGTATTCACAAAGGATTTAGGACCAGTAAAAATTGTAAGAGCAAATATGATTTTTCAGGAAAAATGTTGACCATTAAGTCTAAATATGACGACCATTGTCGTTTTCTTGGAATACTATTTAAAAATATTTACAGTAGTGAATATAACTTTATATTAAATAAAATTTTAGATAATCTAATAATCTATAATTTTATCTAAGATTGTATTAAGATTTAATTTCAAATTGGCAAATTACATAATTAAATACAAAAAGTGAGAAAAAAATTTAGATTGTTTGCATAATTTTAAAAATATTTAGGGTGGTTGAAGATAGTTTTAATGTTAGATAAAATTTCAGAAGATTAACAAATATCTAAAACTAGATTATCTAATAATCTACAAGTTCGTCTAAGATTATATTATTAAGACTTTTAGATTTAGAAATAGACTTTTTAGAGGATAAAATATTATATACAACGTCTACAAGAGCCTAGATAATTGTTTTATATTCAAATGCAATTTTTAAATATACCGAGTTGCTATAAGGCATTATAATGTTAGAAAATATTATAGTTTATTTAATTTTGTACAAATTTGTCAAATATTTTATTTATATAAACGAAACCGTTAAAAGTTACAAGGGTTATAGTAAATAAATGCTTAGATAAATTGCATTTGGAAACAAACCGTGATTGAATACTGTTATCTAATCTATAATAAATAATCTAATTGCTTTAGGGCATTATAATGTAGAAAATATTGTAGATTATTTAAATTTTGATTAAATTTGCCAAATATTTTAATTAAATTGGACAAACGGTTTGAAAGTTACAAGAGTTATAACAAACAAATGCATGAATGAATTTCATGCCAATTCGAGAACAAAACGTGATTGAATACTCATATATATTGTTTATATTCAATTACATTTTTAAAGTATACCGAGTTGCTGTAGAGCGTTATAATGTTAGAAAATATTGTAGATTATTTAATTTTGTACAAAATTATCAAATATTTATTTATATAAAACGAACTGTTAAAAAGTTACAAGGGTTATAGTAAATAAATGCTTAGATAAATTGCATTTGGGAACAAAAAGGGATTGAATACTGTTATATAAGTTGTTTATGTTCAATTGCATTTTTAAAGTATACCGAGTTGCTTTAGGGCATCATGATGTAAAAAAATATTATAGATTATTTAATTTTGTACAAATTTGCCAAATATTTAATTAAATTAGGCAAACGTTTAAAAGTTACACGAGATTAATAAATCACGGATAAAAAAAAAAAAATATTAAAATTTTAAGTAATAAGTGTTCTAAAATTTGATAAATATTTATAAAATACTTATGGAAAAATACGCATTCAACAAATATTTAAAACTACATCATTGTACATTTTTAGACTTTTTAAGCCACAATCAATTTTATAATATTTTTGTTCTTTTTCAATTCTCCGTAAAAAGATAAAAGTATTAAAATTTCAAGTAGTAACAATGTTTTCTCAAATTTATTAAATATTTCTGAAATATTCACGAAAAAACGTGCATTCAACTATATTTTAAAAACTACATTATTACATTTTTTTTAACTTTTGGGCCAGAAATCAATTATTGCAACTTTTTTTAAATCAAAACTGTCTAAATTATTATATAGCTTTCATAATTATTAATTTTTTTTTAATCAATATATAATATGTGAAAAAAATTTGCAAAAAAATCTAACAAAATTAAAATTAAATAATAAATAAATAAATAAAATAAATATCTCAAATATAAAGCTTTTGCAACTTGAAATTTTACAGTAGCATTAAAATAATTTTATTTAAAATTTAACACGAATAAAAAGCCTTTACACGTTTTTTCTTTTAAATCACAAAAGTTTTAAAAAAAATTTTGGGTTTACTGAAATAATTAAATCTCAAGATATATAAAAATAAAAATATGTACAAAACTAATTTAATTAAAATGAACAAACAAATTAAATTAATATTTTTTAATTTGTAAAAGACAAAAAATGATCAGGATTTAGGCTTTAACAATATTTACAGAACAAAATAATTTTTGCACGTTTTTTTGTAAACTATTAAAAAAAATATGTACAAAACAAAAATAATTTTAACCACAAATTAAATTCTAATAAATTTAAATTAAAAGACAAAATGATCAGTAAAAAGTATTTACAGTACAAAATAAATTTTTGTGCGCGTTTTTTGTAAACGATTAAAAAAAATAAGTACAAAACAAAAATAATTTGAAATACGAATTAAATTAATTAGTCAAAGACAAAATAACCAGTAAAAATATTTACAGTACAAACGATTGAAAAAATATGTAAAAACCAAAATAATTTGAACCACAAATTAAATTAATTAGTCTAAAAGACAATCAGTAAAAAATATTTACAGGGCAAAATAATTTTTGCACGTTTTTTGCAAACGATTAAATATTATTTTGGGCTGA